TACCGACTCAATTCTACCTACGCGCTCGACACAATACAACGATAGCGTACCTCGCGGCATCGCTGGATATAGAGTTATTGACCAAGTATAGTCAACGTAAATATACTGTCCAATCTCTACTACGTCATAAACAACACGACACAAACATATCAGTTTGCCCGCCTAGCCCGCCGTGCGCTATGTCCAAGCATTTAATTGACGTGTTTCAAAAATAACATACATTGACAAACGTTCATAGACAAAAAAATCTTACATAATATGCAATTCAAATGCTATTATTATACATATATATCAATCCGTACTTTTATCTTTCTCAAGTGTATCTTTTCTCTTATGATACACAAGATAAAACACTAGTGCGACATAGTAGAGAATAGAAAGCCGAGCGAGCCACCCAACCTGAAGATAACTGGTAAACCAGACAAGTCAGGAGGTGCACCAGCCCTTCAAGACTCGAAACTTCAAGTTGCTGGGATTACTCTACCATATCCACGTTACGCTAATCCGCTGACCCTGCCAAAAGCTATATTATTAAAATGTAATATGACCGTCGCGCTGGAAAGGCGGCTAGAAAATGACCCACGTACCCGATACGCTGACACGTATCGCACGTTCTACATACAGAGCCAATCCGATTGGCTAAGCACACTCGGCAATATCCGTATCGAAGGGGGAAGACAAATAATTCCCGCTATTCTCCGAACCGCGGGAATATGTTAATAATATATAGGCGATATTTACACATAAGAAAAGCATAGTAAGTTTGAAATTACAACAATGAATAACACACGACCTGCCGACACTAAGTAAAGGGTACTGGAAGGTGCCACTTTCTGAGAAGGCAAAGAACATGACGGCATTTTCAACGTCACAGGGACTTTATTGATTCAAGGTCATGTCATTCGGCAATTATTATGCGCTGGCAACCTTAAACCGCCCAATTGAAATAAAGCATATAGACAATGTCATAAACGACTTTTTCATTTTTCCTCTACGCCACCACGTTGGAGGAGAACCTGGACACTATCCGTTGTTTGACCGCCTCAGAAAGGCAAGGCTGACAGCAAAGCCGAGCAAGTGTTCTATTTTATAGAGGAGTCTTTCTTGTTTGGGACAAGTGTTACGATGTGAAATTGTGAACCAGAGGCACAGAGGGCCTGTATCGCTTACTTGAATAACTTTGCCGGCTCCATCTGTTAAAACTACCAGCCAAATATTATTATATGTTTCTATGCTTATTGGTTCCTCTTCAGAAGTTGTTTGAAGTGTTTGACATATTTGACCTGTGACCTTATAAGGAGATCTAGGTTATTTTCATTTTCAAACTTTGTCAGGCGCCATCCCAGGAAAGTACCAGCCAAATATTATAAATCTATGCTCTAAGATTATTCAGAAGAAGTCGCTTAATTGTTTGACATTTTTGACCCATGTGACCTTGGAAGTAGGACAAGGTCATTTTATTTTTTTAACACTTTGTCGGGCTTTATCCCAAGAAGCAACAGTCCAAATATGAGGATTCTATACCTTTCAGACGATCAGAAGAAGTCGTTTGAAGTGTTTGGCACATTTGACCCCTAATACCTTGAAAGTAGTTCAAGGTCATTTTCATTCTCAAACTTTGCCTGGCGCTATCGCAGAAAGCAACCAACCAAATATGAAGATTCTATACCTTTCAGTTCTTCAGTAGAAGTTCTTTAAAGGAAAAGTTGACGGACGAAGACGGACGGACGAACGGACGGACGGACGACGGACGCTGCACCATGACATTAGCTCACTTGCCCTTCGGTCAGGTGAGCTAAAAATAGAGACACATTCAAATGGAACTTTTTATTAACTTTTGGAACATTTGACACAACATGAAATTTTCCATTTGAACTGTTACAGTATATTTTATATAACAGTTGGTTCAAAAACATTATAATTGATTACAGCTGATAAATGTTTACCTGTAATACGCCTCAAGAACGATATTTCGTTCTGGTCAAATCTGATTCGCGTCAATATTGTTTTTTACGGGTTTTTTTTATTACTTTATAATAATTATCTTCCTGCTGACCTTATAATCTAGTGACATATTTACTACCACAGGCAACTTTGAATAGGAATATCTATCATTGATGAATAAGCTTTAACTATCTTCTACAATTATAATTAATTACACTTGCTATACCCAGCATTGTGGCCACCTATCTTTGGTATGAATTGAAGTATAAATTGTAAGAAAATAGTTTCAGCCGCGTCTGGTCTCCGACTCGAGATGTTACGCACGGACTTCCGGTGTACTCCTCAGGAAATTTAAATGTACCATCTGCATAACGACCTTGTTATATTGTACTTAACAAGCTGTGGAATTTGAATACAACATAATCAATTGGATCCATCTCTGTGACATCGTTCCGACTCTGACAGCAAGTAATAAGACTTCCGACCCTGACCCGACAATACTTGATGAATATTCAAACATTTAAAACAATCGTCGTTACATTATATTCAGAAATGGAAAGCTTCAATGGGTACATTCGAAATGAAAATCATTAGGAATGCACCTGTACCGACAACGACGAAACAATCTGTTTTTTTCCAGAAAGATCATTCTCAGCTTCTCAAGAAAGAACTGCCCCGCTAACCGATCTCACGAAGAGAGGGTGTTCTAACAAAATTGTTTCGGATGTTCATATCAGAGCATAATTAACGCTGAAAAAATGTTGTTGATGGCGAGAACAGTATTGAAACTATCGGATCTTCAGAAGGAATTCGTTCTATCTACAGAATATAGATACAGGTTTGCGAGAGCAGTTCTTCTGCAAGAGAAGGAAGGAGTGATGATGCATAACGCTTATACCAAAAGGAAACTGTTGACGAATGAGAAACACACTACGCTATCATCGAAAAAAAGGGTGTTTAGCAATTGTCTGTAGTGTATACAAATTACAGTCTTACATCTATGGAAGGAAATTCGTGGTCGAAACGGATCCTCATCCACTCACATATCTACACAAATCCAAGACAACTAACGCGAGACTCATGATATGATTGTTGTTACTACAATCGCAAAGACTGAAGTCGGTGCCATTAATGACATAGATAACTTTGGAGCAAACGACCTTAACAGGATTTATAACATCCTAGCTCCATGATTTGTGATAACGTGTACCACGTGCTTTGAATTTATGGCAACTGTGTCACGTCCGCAAGTATATCGGCAGTGCAAGTATTCTTAGAGTAATGGGCGGATTGTTGGTGGCGCTATTTTGGAAGGCACGTTGAAGAATTTGAGCGATAGATACGGGTGGACATGTCATTGTCCGTTTTCTGATATTGCTTGTTCTTTTCCTTGTGAACAAGGCACAGGATACAGACTGTGGTAAGTTTACTATCTCTATATTTCTATCTTTTGTATTTAATTTTGGTATTATTTGTCGGTATTAGTGCATTAATCAGGTTAAGTATCGGTGCGGTCCAATCACGCGTGACCATTGGTTTTACCGTGTACAATTATATAGGTTTTGATATAGAAATACAAGTTAAACATGTATTACTATTGAGTAAACTTGGATATTGATTTAGCCGTTGTCCTTTTTTTGGAAAGGAACCTTTTATAACAAGAGAACGCTGGCGTTCCTTCAGATTGGTATGAAAATGGTAGTGTAAATGGTACTGAGAATGGTAGTGTAAATGGTACTGAGAATGGTAGTGTAAATAGTCCTGAGAATGGTAGTGTAAATGGTACTGAGAATGGTAGTGTAAATGGTCCTGAGAATGGTAGTGTAAATAGTACTGAGAATGGTAGTGTAAATAGTACTGAGAATGGTAGTGTAAATGGTTGAAGAGTAAACAGTTTTGATAAAAGGAGCATTTTTAAGAAAAGTATGTTAAAGATTGATCAAACGATCTTTTGAATACTTCAAAATCCACATACGATGTTTTCCACACCTTGAGCACACACTATGACAACACGACTGTCAACCTGATCTGATGGTACTGAGAATGGTAGTGGGAAGATCTGATAATGGCTGGGTTGAGCAACTAGAAGAGCTAGCGATGAAACGTAGTTTATAAGGGTTTTGAAAGGTCTGAATTTCAAATTCAAAAACAAATGAGGCGTGTCCGTGTCCTTATCATACGTGGGTATTCGGACAGGTGGTAATACAGAAGCGTGCTACTAAAATTTGAAAATGTATAGGTAGCGTTTCCCTGGTTTTCTAGCGTTTCCTTTGTTGTCTAGCGAGCAGGTTGAGTTGCAGATCGTTGTCTTGTAATTCTTGAGAACAAGTGATAACAAAATAAAACATGCACTATTACAGAAGGGGGAACTTTCATAAAAAAAATCCGTATATATAACGATAACAGGAATCGTTTAAGGATGAACAAACGGCCAGATATGAAGGGCAATTTGGATATCCCACCATCTGATGACGGTGGGTTACAACAACAAATTATATCCCAGAGTTATACCTTAACCCCCCTTCCCAAGGAAATTGGTGATCTGGTATTAATTTGTTAGCACTGCCTCTGGAGGATTGAAACAATATGGTTTACAATTTTGACATGAAATCTTAATGCAACACGATGTTAAAATTGGATCATTGGATCAGTGCTTTTTAAAAGTCAATGTGTCACATGATTCTTTTTCTTTGATAACCTCAATATCACAGCCCTTTATAAAAGCCACAGACAAAATTAATCCTTGATGTTATCAAGATGAATTTGTTTGAGGCTTGGACACATTGGAGTCTTGGACACATTGGAGTCTTGGACACTTTGGGGTCAGTCATGGACACATTGGGGTCTTGGACACATTGGAGTATTGGACACATTGGGGTCTTGGACACTTTGGGGTCTTGGACACATTGGAGCCTTCGACACATTGGGGTCTTGGNGACACTTTGGGGTCGGTCTTGGACACATTGGGGTCTTGGACACTTTGGGGTGTTGGACACTTTGGGGTCTTGGACACATTGAGGTCTTGGACACTTTGGGGTCTTGGACACATAGCAGTCTTAGCCATTTTGGGGTCGGTCTTGGACACATTGGGGTCTTGGACACTTTGGGGTCGGTCTTGGACACTTCGGGGTCTTCGACACATTGGGGTCTTGGACACTTTGGGGTCTTGGACACATTGGAGTATTGGACACATTGGGGTCTTGGACACTTTGGGGTCGGTCATGGACACATTGGGGTCTTGGATACTTTGGGGTCGGTCTTGGACATATTGGGGTCTTGGACACTTTGGGGTTGATCTTGGACACATTGGAGTCTTGAACACATTGGAGTCTTGGACACGGTGGGGTCTTGGACACTTTAGGGTATTGGACACTTTGGGATCTTGGACTCATTGGAGTCTTGGACACATTGGGGTCTTGGACACATTGGTTCTTGGACACATTGGAGTCTTGGACACATTGGGGTCTTGGACACTTTGGGGTCTTGGACACATTGGAGTATTGGACACTTTGGGGTCGGTCATGGACACATTGGGGTCTTGGATACTTTGGGGTCGGTCTTGGACACATTGGGGTCTTGGACACATTTGAGTCTTGGACACATCGGAGTCTAGGACACATTTGGGTCTTGGCCACATTGGAGTTTTGGACACATTGGGGTCCTGGACACTTTGGTGTCGGTCTTGGACACATTGGGGTCTTGGACACTTTGGGGTCTTGGACATATTGGAGTCTTGGACACAATGGGGTCTTGGACACATTTGGGTCTTGGACACATTGGAGTCTTGGATTGGTTGAGGTCTTGGACACATTGGAGTCTTGGACACATTGGGGTCTTGGACACTTTGGGGTCTTGGACACATTGAAGTCTTGGACACAATGGGGTCTTGGACACATTGGGGTCTTGGAATCATTGGAGTATTGGACCCGTTTAGGTCTTGGACACATTGAAGTCTTGGACACTTTTAGGTCGTGGACACATTGAGGTCTTGGACACTTTAGGGTCTTGGACACATACATTGGAGTCTTGCTTTGGGGTCGATCTTGGACACATTGTGGTCTTGGACACTTTGGGGTCTTGGACACATTGGAGTCTTGGACACATTGGAGTCTTGGACACGTTGAGGTCTTGGACACATTTGAGGATTGGACACATTGGAATCTTGGGCACATGGGGGTCTTGGACACATTGGAGTCTAGGACCCATTGGAATCTTGGACACATTGGAGTCTTGGACACTTTGGGGTTGGTCTATGACACATTGGGGTCTTGGATACTTTGGGGTCTTGGACACATTGGAGTCTTGGACACATTGGAGACTTGGACACATTGGAGTCTTGGACACATTGGGGTCTTGGACACATTGGGGTCTTGGACACTTTGGGGTCGGTCTTGGATACATAGCAGTCTTAGACACTTTGGGGTCGGTCATGGACACATTGGGGTCTTGGACACTTTGGGGTCGGTCTTGGACACATTGGGGTCTTGGACACTTTGGGGTGTTGGACACTTTGGGGTCTTGGACACATTGAGGTCTTGGACACTTTGGGGTCTTGGACACATAGCAGTCTTAGCCATTTTGGGGTCGGTCTTGGACACATTGGGGTCTTGGACACTTTGGGGTCGGTCTTGGACACTTCGGGGTCTTCGACACATTGGGGTCTTGGACACTTTGGGGTCTTGGACACATTGGAGTATTGGACACATTGGGGTCTTGGTCACTTTGGGGTCGGTCATGGACACATTGGGGTCTTGGATACTTTGGGGTCGGTCTTGGACATATTGGGGTCTTGGACACTTTGGGGTTGATCTTGGACACATTGGAGTCTTGAACACATTGGAGTCTTGGACACGGTGGGGTCTTGGACACTTTAGGGTATTGGACACTTTGGGATCTTGGACTCATTGGAGTCTTGGACACATTGGGGTCTTGGACACATTGGTTCTTGGACACATTGGAGTCTTGGACACATTGGGGTCTTGGACACTTTGGGGTCTTGGACACATTGGAGTATTGGACACTTTGGGGTCGGTCATGGACACATTGGGGTCTTGGATACTTTGGGGTCGGTCTTGGACATATTGGGGTCTTGGACACATTTGAGTCTTGGACACATCGGAGTCTAGGACACATTTGGGTCTTGGCCACATTGGAATTTTGGACACATTGGGGTCCTGGACACTTTGGTGTCGGTCTTGGACACATTGGGGTCTTGGACACTTTGGGGTCTTGGACACATTGGAGTCTTGGACACAATGGGGTCTTGGACACCTTGGGGTCTTGGACACATTGGAGTCTTGGACACATTGGAGTCTTGGACACATTGGAGTCTTGGACACATTGGGGTCTTGGACACATTGGGGTCTTGGACACTTTGGGGTCGGTCTTGGATACATAGCAGTCTTAGACACTTTGGGGTCGGTCATGGACACATTGGGGTCTTGGACACTTTGGGGTCGGTCTTGGACACATTGGGGTCTTGGACACTTTGGGGTGTTGGACACTTTGGGGTCTTGGACACATTGAGGTCTTGAACACTTTGGGGTCTTGGACACATAGCAGTCTTAGCCATTTTGGGGTCGGTCTTGGACACATTGGGGTCTTGGACACTTTGGGGTCGGTCTTGGACACTTGGGGGTCTTGGACACATTGGGGTCTTGGACACTTTGGGGTCTTGGACACATTGGAGTCTTGGACACATTGGAGTCTTGGACACATTGGAGTCTTGGACACATTGGGGTCTTGGACACATTGGGGTCTTGGACACTTTGGGGTCGGTCTTGGATACATAGCAGTCTTAGACACTTTGGGGTCGGTCATGGACACATTGGGGTCTTGGACACTTTGGGGTCGGTCTTGGACACATTGGGGTCTTGGACACTTTGGGGTGTTGGACACTTTGGGGTCTTGGACACATTGAGGTCTTGGACACTTTGGGGTCTTGGACACATAGCAGTCTTAGCCATTTTGGGGTCGGTCTTGGACACATTGGGGTCTTGGACACTTTGGGGTCGGTCTTGGACACTTCGGGGTCTTGGACACATTGGGGTCTTGGACACTTTGGGGTCTTGGACACATTGGAGTATTGGACACTTTGGGGTCGGTCATGGACACATTGGGGTCTTGGATACTTTGGGGTCGGTCTTGGACACATTGGGGTCTTGGACACATTTGAGTCTTGGACACATCGGAGTCTAGGACACATTTGGGTCTTGGCCACATTGGGATTTTGGACACATTGGGGTCCTGGACACTTTGGTGTCGGTCTTGGACACATTGGGGTCTTGGACACTTTGGGGTCTTGGACACATTGGAGTCTTGGACACAATGGGGTCTTGGACACATTGGGGTCTTGGACACATTGGAGTCTTGGACATGTTGAGGTCTTGGACACATTGGATTATTGGACACTTTTAGGTCTTGGACACATTGGGGTCTTGGACACTTAAGGGTTTTGGACACATTGCAGTCTTGGACACTTTGGGGTCGATCTTGGACACATTGGGGTCTTGGACACTTTGGAGTCTTGGACACATTGGAGTCTTGGACACATTGGAATCTTGGACACGTTGAGGTCTTGGACACATTGGAGTATTGGACACATTGGAATCTTGGACACATGGGGTCTTGGACACATTGGAGTCTAGGACACATTGGAGTCTTGGACACATTGGAGTCTTGGACACGTTGAGGTCTTGGACATATTGGAGTATTGGACACATTGGAGTCTTGGACACAATGAAGTCTTGGACACATCGGAGTCTTGGACACATTGGGGTTTTGGACACTTTGGGGTCGATCTTGGACTTATTGGGGTCTTGGACACTTTGGGGTCTTGTACACATTGGAGTCTTGGACACATTGGAGTCTTGGACACGTTGAGGTCTTGGACACATTTGAGTATTGGACACTTTGGGGTCTTGGACACATTGGAGTATTGGACACATTGGGGTCTTGGACACTTTGGGGTCGGTCATGGTCACATTGGGGTCTTGGATACTTTGGGATCGGTCTTGGACACTTTGGGGTCTTGGACACTTTGGGGTCTTGAACACATTGGAGTCTTGGACACATCGGAGTCTAGGACACATTGGGGTCTTTGCCACATTGGAGTCTTGGACACATTGGCGTCTTGGACACTTTGGGATCGGTCTTGGACTCTTGGGGGTCTTGGACACTTTGGGGTCTTGGACACATAGGAGTCTTGGACACATTGGGGTCTTGGACACATTGGGGTCTTGGACACATTGGAGTCTTGGACACGTTGAGGTCTTGGACACTTTTGGGTCTAGGACACATTGGGGTCAGTCTTGGACACATTGGGGTCAGTCTGAGACACATTGGGGTCTTGGACACATTGGAGTCAGTCTTGGACACATTGGGGTCTTGGACACATTGGAGTCTTGGACACTTTTGGGTCTAGGACACATTGGTGTCAGTCTTGGACACATTGGGGTCAGTCTTGGATACACTGGGGTCTTGGACACTTTAGGGTTTTGGATACATAGGAGTCTTGGACACATTGGAGTCTTTGACGCATTGGAGTCTACGACACTTTGGGGTCGGTCTTGGACGCATTGGGGTTTTGGACACTTTGGGGTCTTTGAAACATTGGAGTCTTGCACATTGGGGTTTTGGACGCTTTGGGGTCGGTCTTGGACACATTGGGATCTTTGACACGTTGAGGTTTTGGACACATTGGAATCTTGGACACATTGGGGTCTTGGACACATTGGAGTCTAGGACACTTTGGGGTCGGTCTAGGACACATCGGAGTCTTGGACACATTGAAGTCTTGGACACAATGAAGTCTTGGACACATTGGAGCTTTTGACACTTTGGGGTCGATCTTGGACACATTGGGGTCTTGGACACTTTGGGGTCTTGGACACATTGGAGTCTTGGACACATTGAAGTCTTGGACACTTTCGGGTCTTGGTCACATTGGGGTGGGTCTTGTACACTTTGGGGTCTTGGACACATTGGAGTCTTGGACACATTGGGGTCTTGGACACTTTGGGGTGGGTCTTGGAGACATTGGAGTCTTGGACACTTTGGGGTCGGTCTTTGACACATTGGAGTCTTGGACACTTTGGGGTCGGTCTTGGACACATTGGAATATCAATACCGATGACAAAACAAACGTATTGCTTCTTCACCTGAGCATGGTTCTTGTCAAATATAACAACTATATGCATTTGATTCTGAGTAACAAATTTTCAACACATTTGATTCCTGTGACCTTGAATATTGGCGAAGGTCAGTCATTTTATTAAACATTACAGCTCTTTACCTGAGCATTTTACTGGCCAATTATCATCACATTAGACATTATTATTTTTTTATCAAAGATGTCATTTGTGACTTTGAATAAGGGTGAAGGTCAACCACTAGAACAATTTTGGTAGCCCTTCATCCCAGCATGTTACTCGCCAGATGGCATCACCCAACAATTTTTTTGGCATTGAGAAGTTGCTTAACATATCCTACCCCCGTGACCTTGAAAGTAGGTCAAGGTCCTTCATTTACAGAATTTGTTCGCCATACATCCAAGCATGCAAGAGGCGAAATATAAACACCCTAGACATCTTGGCTATTGAAATCAGTTGTTTGAATATGTTTTAAGGATGTACACCTCTGCATAGTAAAAAAAATCCTGTATTAAACTTTTGTTCTTACATGGATTTTTGGAAAAAGGAGTTAATGGCATAGTAGGAAATGCAAAAAAAAATCCATGTCCGTGTGTTCGTTTGTGTGCTATGATCAGTCAACGATACCAATTTAACACAACATGTGATTTTAGGTGATTTTTGGGGTTTTGACCATTTGCAGAACAAATTCATACAATTTCTTCCAAGTTTGTTTTCAGATATGTATGAATGTTTGAAGAACTAATGAAAATATTGTTTTTTTATAAATTGTGGAAGTAATTTTTTTTTTTTTTTTTTTTT